TTTTTTCCCTTATTCAGAAGGGTTTTCCACGTAAAAATCTTGGTGTCATTGTTACTCTTTTATTCTTGTTAATTACCGTATCTCGGTGCTACATTATTATTCCGCTTTATTACCGTGAATATTATTTTGGTAAGGGGTTTATTCCCAACAATGTTCATCTTTGTAATGCGATGGTTATTTTTTTTTTGTCATGAAAAAGATAACAAAAGTAAGACAGTGGTGTTTTGTCCAAGATTTGTAGTAGATTTCGCTGATTTTCATGGTGGTTATAAAATAAAGAAGGAAAACAGTGAGAGAGAGTTGAGATAGTCAGTGGTGTTGGCTTTGTAATTTTTCCAGTAGTTTTGATGTGAGGTTCGAGAAGAGAAGAGGGTCGTGTCTGGTGGGGTTATTTTAGGGGAGGGGGTTTAGGGTCGGATAACGGGTCGAATAATAGAGGTATTGGGTATTTTAAATTGGGGATGGGTCAACTAAATTTGAGAGTGATACGTGTTTATTCCGTCTATTTAGGAGCATTTTTGTTTAATAGTGTAACGGTAAGGAGTCTTTTGACCCGATAGTATAACGAATGTCATTCTTAAACGATTGTTAATAGTAGAGGACACACCATACCCTTTACCGTATTTGAAAATGCAGATTCTTCTATTGTGTGAGAAAGGCGTAGTCATCATATTTAATGAGTTTTACAACATATTACAAGGGACCTAAAATGCTTACCATATATTCTTTTTGGGTTAGAAACCCAGCAACCCTTTTGGTATTTCACTTCTTATGCCTTACTCCTTGACTAATACATGAAAAAGCAAAAAAGAACATTTCATAATTTTACAAGAATTTCAAATTCAGACTACGAATTGGGAACAAAAACACCAACATAGCCAAACCCAACAACGAAAAATGCTGCAGCTTGGAGGAACAGGTATACGTGGAACCTACTCTTCCCAAAAGAGAAGTCGTACCACCCGCAAAACCAGAGGTACAGCCCAACAAAAAGCTCAAGAAGATGTACCCTGCCATTAAACAAGATAGCAAATTAGTTCCCAAACCTCTCTTTTCTTCGTCTTAATATTTTTTTTTCACTTCTAAATATTTGGAGTAAGTTATACCTTTCCCCAACTCGAAAACGAAGTTTTCTTGATGTTTTTGAGCTCACTTTTGTCTTGAGAGCATCTCCCAGTTTCTCTGTTACAATCCATTCATTGACTCTTCCTGACTCGAACAGGCCGACGAACGTTGCTTTCGTCCGATGGAGGGACATTACATTCTCAAATAGGATCCAATAAACCACCAAGTACATTGATCTGCAAAAAATCATCCATAAATAAGAAAGATACAAAGAATTAACTAAATACATGCCAATACAAAGTTAAGTTTTCCTTTTCTCTACCTTGGAGAGCCAAGAACATTGAGAATAGTAATAGCTGAAGGAATATAAATAGCTCCCCATTTAGGCACTTGGACTTCAGGGACGAAAACGGTTGCAGGCATAACAACACAATACAAGACGAACGTCACAATGTGTGCAATGATCTTTCGGACAAAGAAGAAGCTGTATATCAGATAAAATTTCTTCCATACAGAAACTTTCTGCAGTGATCAAACAGCTTAATTTTAGGTATTGAATAATTCCATTGTCATGTTTTAGGATTGAAGATCAAACAACAAGAGCACCTTATTAGTTGCAATTTCCTTGGCCATTTTTCTGAAAAGATTAGCAGGTCCACAAGACCATCTGTGTTGCTGATAGCGATACGCCTTAAAAGTGCTTGGCAATTCATTTTTCACCTAATAGGGTAAAAGAAGAATGAAAATTTTTAACTCTTAATGAATAGTAATAACAATGTAAGATAGAGAACCATCATTTCATTTCCACTATCTTGAGAATTTTTTTCCTATTGATCAGATAAAAAGAACATCCCTAGACCTTTTCAGTCTATCCTTTAACTTCAAGTTTAAATTCCAATGATTTCTTTTCCTAATACTATCACTTTCTACAATGAGTTAAAATACGCTCAAAGTATGAAATGTTTTTACACGGTCAGTGTATATAATTTAAATCTTTTAATCGGATACGTGTTATTGTACCTTAAGGTCACAAACATAGACAAATTTCCAGCCATTGAGACCGGCTCGGACAGCCAAATCCATGTCTTCTACAGTTGTTCTGTCTTTCCATCCTCCTGCTTCATTAAGAGCTGACATTCTCCAAACTCCAGCAGTGCCTGCATTCAAATTATCCATTTTCTAATACCAAAGTCTCAAGCAAGTGATTATTTGTAAACTAGCATAATTACTGGTGCTAAAATTTTCTGAATTTATAGTACTATTGTTACTTACTTACTTCTATTTACTTCTCTGACTATGCAGGGAACCTGAAATTGTATTAGAGATGAAAGTAATTCCTCTAAATTACAATCTCCTCAATATTAAGCGATTTGTATCTCATTCTATTATATGCTCAAAATAATCTAATCAAGAAGACGAACGGGTGTGTGTGTGTNATAACTCGAACAACAACAATAATAATGTCAAATTCTTGGCTGTTTTATTTTACCAATGCAATATTTGGTTTGGGTGTGGTGTGGTGGGGTGGGTTGGTAGCCTACCATTGAAGCCAAAAAATGCATGGATTGCAGATCCAACTTCTTGCTCCACTGTGAAATGGTAACCAAGTGACATTTCTTGCATTCTTGTCATCAAACACTCATCAGCATTGACTGCAATACCAACATTAGTTTTATGTCAAGCTCTTGTTTAACATTTTTTACATGTTATTTCACTCATCTGTCAATTTATCTTTAAGGAACATCCAAGTCTCAAATATCCCTCAAGCTAATTATGTGCAACCAACCAATTAATTTCACTCTATTTAACAAGTTTTCATAGTCAAGTAGCAATAGAACAGGTTGCGTCCAGAGTAGGTCTGGACCACATTGACTATTGAGTCTACTATACCTTACCTTGTAATTTTCAAGAGGTTATTTTTTACAACCTAAACTGTGACTTCCTGGTCACACAAAGACAATTTTAGTGTTGCTTGCTATTTTACGCAACTTTACCTTAAAATTTCACAAGAGGTTATTTTTACGGTTTGAACTCGTAATCTTTTGGTCACAAAAAAACCAACCTTATTGTTGCGCGAGTTCCCCTCATTTTAACATTTACTTGTCTCTCATTTTTATAAAGAAAGAGGAAATTAAAGACATTTACCAAATTCCCAACGAGCTTGAACGAGTCCAATTTCAGGGTTATGTACAAGAAAAGGAATGGCGCGCTCCAAGAAATCAGGCTCAGGTTGAAAATCAGCATCAAAGATGGCCACATGACTACACAGCTTCACATAACTATGCTTCATTCCTTCTCTGAGAGCCCCAGCTTTGTACCCTTTCCTGTTGTCCCTTATCTCATACTTTATGTTAACACCTTTGCTTGCCCATCTCCTGCATTCTTGCTCCACCAAAGCCTGTTGTTTTATTACAGTAAGTTGAGCAATTAAATCAGGATTTACCATATATGCTGGCAGTGTAAGGATTTTTACGCTATTAGTGTATTTTAACATGTTGCAATAGGTCACTGCTTTATTTTCTAGGTTACTAATTACACTTAGTGAACGGTAGCTTTGGCGTGACTGGTAAAGTTGTTGTCATGTGAGTAGGAGGTCATGGGTTCGAGCCACAGAAATAGCCTCTTGCAAAAATGCAGGGTAAGGCTGTGTACAATAAACTCTTGTGGTCTATCTCTTCCCGACTCCGGGCATAATGGGAGCTTAGTGCACCGGGCTGCCCTTTTACTAATTACACTTAGTATGTACAGTTACGTGGTGAACAGATAATACAAGAATTCTTTTACATTATCAGTATATAAAAGTTAAACTCTAATTTTTTACTTTTTATTTGCTATGTATAGTTGCCGCTCCTGTAAAATCATTAAGAAGAGGATCATTGTCTAGTATTGTTTTCCTAGTAATAGCCTATGCTAATTTTGGAAATTACTACAATTGTGGACTTTCCACTTGTACAAGTTTCAATTTTAACTAGTCGAAATGATGACAATTTTCATTTTTTTTTGTTGGTAGATTTAAAAGGGAATATTGAACCTTAATTGCAGGGTCAGTAGAATCATCAAGAACTTGGATAAAAATTCTATTTGCTGGCCATGAAAGGTTACAGGCAGCTCCAATTGACAACTGATAAACCTGCAGAGTAACAAATCAAAGAAAGTATATAAGATTTCAACATTTTTAAGCCATTTATTGAAAGCACAACTACAAAAATATGACCAGGAGGTCACGGGTTCGAGCTGTGGAAACAGCCTCTTGCAGAAATGCAAGGTAAAATTGCATATAATAGACTCTTGTAGTCCGGCCCTTCCTCAAACGCCGCGCATAGCGGGAACTTAGTGCAGTGGACTACCTTTATTTTTAACAGCTACAATAATATGCTAAAGTTGAGCACCTCTTTTTCATTGTACATTGGTATTTGCACTAAAACCATAGGATAAGAAGAATTTCCCAACTCCAAATCATCCTTTTTCATTGACTCCCATTTGTACTTCTTCTCTGGTTTTCTCCTTAACAACTTTATAAAAGCAATGACAATGCCCATATAAAGCCTCTCCACGAACAACATAAACGATAAGGCCAAACACACAAACAACACTATTCTTAACAATGGCGCAATCAAAGGAGCTTTAGTTTGCTGCCAAAACAATCCAACTTGGCTAGTAATTCCATTACGAGCACTCAACAAAGCCGCGGATGAAGAGAAAATCATGTCCATATATAAGGAAGGTGATTGATCCAACGTGTGAAGTGGGAAATTTGAATGTCCAGAGAAAGAGGCAGGCCGGAGAAGGTGTTATAAATGATCACAGTGTGTGTGTGTGTGTAAGAATATAAAATGTGTGCTTTAAGGAAAGAAGAGGAATGATATATGGAATTCGTGGTTTAGGTTTGTGTGGGAAGAGTCTTTGATTTTTGCTTCTGTGCCACGCCAAAGCGCAAGTTCAAGAGCTGGAAATATTATATATGTGTTCTTCACTTTGAATGAACCATTGCCCCACAAGCAGAACTATTGTAATGATCATCAACCAAACAGAAAACTCGAACATATCCTTCTGTAGGAGGTGGATGAAACTGTCTACAAAAGAAAACTTTATATACGCAAAGTAATTCTAATTAATTGGTTTTGTTAATGATGCGAAGGGTAAAGTTGCCGCCATGCGATCAAGAGGTCACGAGTTCGAGCCATGGAAACAACCTCTTGTAAAAATGCAGGATAAGATTGCATATAATAGACCTTTATGGTCCGACCCTTCCCGGGAGCTTAGCGCATGAGGCTGTTAATGCGAGGAAGTTTCTCTTTTTCAATTAGATGGTTAAGGACTCAGAGCCTTGATGTATTGTAGGCCGAAAAGGAAAAGGGAGGGGAAGTCTTTATTATAAAGATTTAATTTTAGATACACTGACAGGCAAAATACTTTACACTATATCGGTGTTTTAACAGAGGCAGATGGCATATGGAGCTTTAATTTTGAAGAAAGAAAAAAAAATGTTCAACTGAATCGAGTATTTTCTATACTATATATATACATATATATAAATTTTGAACTCATGATTCCAACAATAAGATTTAATGCTAAGAATACTAAAAGCTAAACTCATTAAATTTAACTATTAAATTCATCTTGATTTAAATGGAGCACTTATACAAACAATGAAGAATTTAGATAATTTCTAATAAGAGCACATGATGCGAGGTTTTGCTTTCCAAATAAATTATGAAATGGAAAATAAAGAAAAAAAATGAAATTTCTTTCTTTAGATAATTTTGGGAACCAACAGGATTTGGTCTGATGTTTACTTTGTTCTACCAAAAGATATAATCTTTAACTTTGTCGAAATTGAGTTATTACAGTTCTTCCAAATCTGATGAAATAAAAAGTAAAAATTTATTGGCAAGGTTAGCCAACTAAGAACCGAGTTAGCAAAGAGTAAATTATGAAATTATTTTTAGACCAATTAATCTGAATTTACATCGAATAAATTCACTAAAACAGTAAAATCCTCCTTACCAAGAAATTCTCCATTCCAACTGAATTTAGGCTAAACTCAACTTTAGAAAAAGGAAAACTAGAAAATTACATAAAGGTAATAGTTACTAAGTTGTGGCCAATTAGCATGATGTGTTAAAGTACATTAAACTATCCACAAAATAAAATCGAACACATCCTCTATTATTGGGAAAATTTGCATATTTTTGAAACATTGGAATTCTTCAATTTGAATTCTCATATCCAGAAAATGAAGAAAATGAAAGTTACAGAGATAACGATGCTAAGATGGATGTGCTGGCACACTAGACTAGATAAGATTAGGAATAAAGATATTCGAGTGAAGGTGGGCGTGGCTCCCATGGAAGACAAGATGCGGTAAGCAAGACTTAGATGGTTCGGGCACTTGAGGAGGAGAAGCATGGATGCACCGATAAGGAGGTGTAAATGGATGGCCTTGACAGGTATGAGAAGAGGTAGAGGGCGGCCTAAGAAATATTGGAGAGAGGTGATCAGTCAGGGCATGGTGCGGATGCAGATTTCCGAGGACATGACCCTTGATAGCAAGTTGTGGAGGTCGAGCATTAGGGTTGTAGGTTAGGAGATAGGAGGCTAGTATGATAGTGTTTTATTTTAGGCTGCTAGTGGCTCCAGTTGTTTTCTTAATACTTCATTAGGGTCATAGGTTAGGTTGTAGTATGTTTAGTGGCCCTTTGTGTCCATATTATTCCCTTGCGTCTATAGTATTGTGCATTTGTTACTGCTTAGTGTTATTATTTTGCTCTCTATTTTTTGGTTATTGCATTGTTGATGTTATCTTTCTGGATTCCTTTGCTGTTACTGATTCAACGTCTCTTTCCTTCTTGTGCCAAGGGTCTACCAGAAACAGCCTCTCTATTCCTTCGGAGTAGGGGTAAATTTTGCGTACACTTTATCCTCCTCAGACCCCACATGTGAGATCTCACTAGGTTATTGTTGTTGTTGTTGTTGTTGTTGTTGGATCTGGCTCCTCGCGAATTGGTAAGTATTGAAGATCGATTAGTTCATAAATCAGATTTTTGATATATCAATCGTAAACCAATACTAAATTTTTTGGAAATAGCTGTCAATCGATATCTATTACTCCTATAATATAAAATTATAAATATTATTTGAACAGTTGAAGTTTGTCACTAACGAGTAAATTCTAACTGAAAACTAGGGTGTACAAACCGAACCGAATAACCGCATCAAATCGAAAAGTCAAACCAAATCGATTAAAAACCCCGATGACGTTTGGTTTGATTTGGTTTGGTATTGAGTAAAAAAATTCGAACAAAACCGACATATAAATATATAATTTTATATATATTTGTAAGACTTTATATAGAATTTTCTTTAAAAAATATCTAGAAATATTTGGGATTCTCTTATGGGATGTAATATTTAATAGAATATGAAGTGCTCCATATTTATTAACTTTAAACAATGTGTTGTACGATAACTTTCTTATCACTCAATCTCTTTGTTTTTCCCTATTTGTTATATTCTTATATCTTTTTCAAATTTGAAGTGATTCGATAATTAAAAATTAAACATATCATTATTTAGGTACTATATTGATTTTATGTTTAATTATTAAATTCGGTTAACTTTGAAAGTGTACAACAATAAAAATTTATTGTCAGACAACTAAGAAAATAACTATCATGTGTTATTAAGAAAATTCTATCATAAGAATAGTTTAATAGATCATATGTTTGTCAATTTTTTTAATTTTTATTAAACATATATTTATTTATAATTTATTTTAAAAGTAACATTAACATATTATTCAGGTACCAAAAAAACCTCGAAAATCTGAATCCGACAAAACCGAACCAATCCAAACTGATGTAAATGGTTTGGTTTGGTTTTAGTAAAAACCGAACCAATCCGGTCCAGGTACACCCCTATTGAAAACAAAACCATTAGCCCTTCAAAGCATTTTATGTTCGGTCATATTGATTTGAAATTTTGTTTCACAAGATTCTCGTTAACAATCATCACGAGATCTCTTCTAAAAGTTTACAAGAAATATCTAAACAAATAAAAAAAATACAGAGACAACACTACTATACGATATTAACAAGAAATATATAACCAAATTAATTGGAAAAAAACAACAATGTCATTGCAATATATTTATATATATTTAATAAAAAAAAAAAGACAAATACATGATTTGAATCAAAGTTACTACCGTAAGAGCATTGTGGCTCTGCCTCTGGCACGATATGAAGTTGAATCTTATGTTTAATGTCTCTATTTCTTTCTACAATTATTTGGTCCATTAAAAATGATAATGGGTTACTCCGAATATTTGATGATGAGAATGTTTACCAACCAATTAAATCCAATTTCATTTAATTTATGTACTGTCCGCGCTTAGCCAAAAACAAATCAAAATTATTCTAATCAATTTAATCGTTTCTGCAAGTATTTTGGTTGAAAAGTTGGCCGAGATATCAAAATCCGAATTAAAAAATTACAAAATGAAAAATGTGAAAAACATAGCGGAAATTCTTAAATAATTTAAATGAGAAACTCCAAAGTTTTGAGAATATATAGGGACGTGTGAATAATAGTACATGCAACGTTGTGGAAAGAAGAGAGTAATTCAAATCCACATTTTGTCACGGGACTCCTTTGCAGCAAAGTTTTTTTTCCCCAGACCAATTAGTCAAGTTTTACTTTTCAAAAAAGTAGTACCTTAGTAATTTATTTTGCTACGCATGATTCATATCACTAAACCAGTTCTGATGGAATGGACATGCAATTTAATTGCATATCATGAATGGAAAAAAAAACATAGTAGAGGTGGCAAATAGACGGTTGGGTCAATTGATCAAATTAATAAATAGGCAACGATTCACTCTGTCCAAAGTTTGGTTAAGTTAGAATAAATTAGATCAAATGAGTCAATAATGTATTGTGGTATAACTGAACCAGTCCGAGATGACTCAAGTTCGACCTATTATTATTAGTTAAATTATGTCATTCAATTTGATTTTGTATATTTGAGTGTGCGTTGCATATTAACCCATCCCATTTTGACCCAATAATTTGATGTATTCATTTCATGTTGGGTCAAGTCAACAAGGGGTCTTAACAACCTGTACAAATTTGAACAGAGTTAGAAAAAATGGATATTTTTACCTCCTATATAGCAAATGTTAACACCTTATTTATTTTAAATAAATACCATTTAAAAAAATTATATTCTATAGATACCTTTAAAGTTTATAGCAAAATATTTAATTTTGGTTACCTCCTAGCCCTAAGCCACTAAATACGCTAATCAGTTACACTATTTTCTTTCTACTTTGATACATCACATTCTCTTCCCACATCCCATTAAAATTTCCGATCTCCTCCTCCTTCCACCGGATTTGTGCAAAGTATGAAAGATTCAAAAGGTAACCAAACACTTTATTGGTGATATTATGTGTAAAGTATGAAAGATTCCAAACAGTTTGGGTTTATGTCTTCTATGAATTTACTGCCGATAAAGGTTCATGTTGAGAATCAAAAGGGTGGAAATTTTGAGGAGCAATTTTCACAAATGACACTTGGGGTAGTGAAACAGAAGCATGAGGAAGGAGGATTTGTGGATTTATCTTTGCCGCCTGCGACGACTGTTTTAGTGCCGGCGACGGTTGTTTCCGGCATGCAACAACTATAGCTACAGCCGCCTCCGCAATTGCAACCAAAGCTTGTTATTCCATCTGATTTGCCTTCCCCTAATTCAGTTTCAAATCAACTTCATCAATCCAGAGCAATTCCACATGACATCCATGCCACAACTTCATCTTTCGCGATGAAGAAGAACATTTCTTTTAATATATTTCAATGTAATTTCAACGTATTACGATGTATTTTCATGTATTTCATTGTATTCATTATCTTTTTTTATTGCAATTCAATGTATCTCGCCGTATTCCATGTATTTTATTGTATTCTCCGTCTTCTTTTCATTGTATTTCAATGTATCCCGTTGTATTCTATGTATTTCAGCGTATTCACTGTCTCGCTATATGTCATGAATGTATTCATAAGTTTTTTTTAAATTAATATAATTTATGTATTCATATGTATTATATAATTTTCTCTGAAGATTGCTATATTTTCGATGTATTTTTCGGTTGAGAATCTTTTTTATAACTGAAAATACAAAATTTGTGTGTTATAATTGAGTTTGTTGCGTTATATTAGGAATCTATTAATGTTAATTGATTCACTTTCCGTTTTAAAAACAGTGTAATCCCCTATTTCACGCCGTGAATACAGTCGAATACAATAATCTGTCCAGCTGTAATCTCATGTTTCACTCCATGAATACAGTCGAATA